TTTCAAAATGAAAAGAATATTAATAAATAGTAGAAATAGGTTCACCTGGTTGCCCGTATCAGAGTTTTGCCAGTTTGAAGTCTCGGATCAGCCAGTCACAACGAAGACCTTCCTCCCTGACATATACTTCCAAACATCTACTTGAACAACATCAGCCCTTCAAAAGTAAAAACAAATTAAGCAGATATATAATGACCAATCAAGGTTCATATACGTGAAATTAATTATATATTATGCATGCATCATTCAATAAAATCAGTAACTACATTAGGAATGCCCATAAGCCATGAAGGACTAAATGGGTTACGTACCATGAAGGATAGTGATCCACCTCCGTATGCGACCAACAAGCCACCCATATGAGGTCCTTTCAGTCATCTCTAGTGTTGAGCCAAAACCATCAGTCAGATTCCTGCACTCCTGAGATGATTGAGTGATGTCTCCTATACACAAAACAAATTAATCCAGTTGGAAATAATAATATCATATACATCAAAGTTAATTTATTTCATAACGAATCTTATAAATGTGTAATTAAAACCTGTAAATAATTCATCAACGACTCAATGGAATTTTGAAATCACTTCCTATCTCATACGATCTGACTGTGAAGTTTTGCTGGAAAATAAGTCCATCCTTTAAAACATTCCAGTAGAGGTGCTCAGCATTATCAGTGGTTCCCATTAATAAGTTCCCAATTCTCCATGTGGGTGCAGACAGTTGATTGATGTTCTCCAGAGTCTCATTCTTTTGGCTTTCTATTGGTGATAGTGATGATATCCCAGTACCGTGATCGAAAGCTGCGGCTATTTATATCTCTTAATCTTCTCCCGACCACTACTAGCCGGAGTAAAATTAAGCTTATTTTTCCCACTACCAAACGGCAAAGCTACCTTGAATGGTGAGGTTGATTTTATAATCATGGCGATCTTGTGGGTGAGATAATTAGAAAACCTGCCGCTAAATACGGAATCAATGAACCGATATTAAGAAGAAATTGTAAAAGAAGCTTTATCAGATATATATAAATCACAACACAAAGAATAATGTTGAGCTACATGCAAGTACGTAGTATATGCGTTAGATAAATATATATATATGCGTAATTCGACAAAGCTTATAAATCTGGTCTTCAATGATCCCTCCTGACCAAAGTTTTCTGGTCATAGATCAAATGAAGCGCCTCAGTGTAGGAGAATACGAATTTAGCTGCTGTGTATGAATGTGAACGACCAAGCTTGCTGAAATTCCTTATTTATATGATACCCTAGATTCACTGTTACCAAATCAATTAATAAATATTATCCTATGGCATAGTCCCTAGTCTACTAGCTAAAAACTACCCAACAGTTAATCAATTTAGAAAACCTATAAAATAACAGACCAGTACCAAGTAGATTAATTTAATATAAAATATTTTTGACCGAACGTCGGTATTATAAGGTAACTATATTGATTACTGCTTTACAGTTGGTGATATTAATATGATAAATATTACCTTGATAAAATATATAATTAATGCAAAAGTGAAAATAAAAACAATTGTATATGATTAACTAAGATAATTTAAAGAAACATATAAGTCAAAACTAATCTGAACACAAATGAAAGTTGAATAAAAATGTATGAAATAAAGAAAATTGATATAATATTATACATGATTCATGATAAATGAAATATAAAAATACCAAACAAGATGAAATTTTTTTTTTGTTAAATATATATATATGTTTTTTCCCCTGAAGATAAAGAGAATAAAACATTGTTATTATGTTGCAACAAAATTTCAAAATTTCAAAAAAAAAAAAAAAAAAAAAATAATAATAATAATTTTTTTTTTAAAATAAACAAGAACCCCTTTTTTCTCCATATGATACAAATAATTGATATGGTCACTTTTAATTTGTTTAAATATGATTCATTCTACATAAATGTAACGTGATATAACCACCAACAAAATAAAGTCTCAACTGTTTTAATAAATTTTAAAAGCAACATAATCTAAGGTTAAATATTGATAGTTGTTGACCAATCTAAGATTCTCTAAAAATTAAAACTTCACACTTTCAATTCTAGTAATTGATTATAATCTTATAAATATGATTAATATGATAAATCATTAATATTTGTACTTTATTAACTTCCTTCCTATACTTTAAGATAGGTATCGAGTAGCCAATTCTCTAGAGGAATAGTTAAATTTCTTCATTGACTGATTTATTCTTTAACATGGTAAATATTAAAATTATTTTTGTAGTAAAGAAAACTCTGGGAAAATAAATAATGATTTAATAATTTTAATCTACCTAATTACGTTGACTTCAGGTGTATATTAAGTGGAAGGGTAGAACCTAACTAAAGATCGAATGATTACTTAACGATTTCTATTATGGTAAAATTAATCTTTGGACTTCTTAATTGAACATCCAAAATGAGTAGTTTTTTTATTGGTGAGTTTTTATATGAAATGGAAGGGTTATTATCCTTACCTACCCTAGGTTTACTTTTGTCTTAGAGACACCCCACCATTTTAAAATAGAAGATATTTGTTGCTACATATATTTATACATTTGCATTTGCTTATCACTAAAATAATATTGAAATTGTGTTAATATTATTTGTTAAGAAAATAAAAAAATTGCATGACAATGTAAGGTTGTGATGTTTTAAGGGGCGTTTTTACGGATTCGATTGATTTCATTTTCTTTTAATTTTTTTAATTTTCATCTTAATGCTAATTTGTGATGAATTGTAATAAGAAATAAATAATAAGAGTGAAAAATCATGATTATTAAACCATAAACGAGCAACATTTTATATACAAAGAGTTTACATAAAATCTTGCATACAAAGTAACGAGACATCACTCTTATATTGCCATATCATCCAACCTTTTATATTAACAAAAAATTCTCAATAAATCATATTTTAAATACCATTCACAAATTTCCATGTTATCGTTTTTCATCGGAACTCATAACAGCAGACTACGCATTTTAATTCCCATACATAACATAGGTATAAGCTATCAATAATTTTATTTTCCTTCAAATTAAGCACGTAGCAAAAATACACATTTCATTTCGATCCATTCACATTTTATTTCTCAAAAATCTATGTTTATAAAGCTGTGATTTATTACCATTCTTCAAAGCAATGTTTTAAAACTCGGCCCGACCTGACTGGTTGAACTAGGACCTAGGGCTTTCACCTAGTTGGGTTACCGATTTTCTTGTTCATCGAAAACCCTAGAAATTGGGATGATGATCGACGAACAATTGAAAGTCGGGATGTCAGGGGTTTTTGAAGAGGAAGGGCTGATAAGTGTAATGGTGGCAACCGAGGTGATTTCTGATAAGTGAATTGATTGAAAATCGAAAAACTTGCAATGGCAATAGCCGAATGTTGCTGGCAATTGGTGAGGCGAATAGGATTGAGGTGAGATGAGTTTTGGTTAAGAGGCCGAGGGGAGTATATTCGTGGTGATGGGGTGGGTTTTTGATGCCAACGGTGGTGAGATCTAGCCTGGGTTGTCGATGTCGACAGTCGTGAGATTTAGCTTGGGTTGTCGACGTCGGCGTTGGTGATATCTGGCCAAAACTGAACCGATTTCAGCCAGATCTTAGGTAGATTCTCTGGGGAATGACTCAAAGGATGATTGAGATTGCATTTGATGTGTCTTTGCCACTGACCAATCAACTGTCGATTTGTATTTGGGATGTGTTTGCTAAATTTCAAAAGTACAAGGACTTAATAATTTTTAGGGATTTATTTGCTGAATTTCAAAATTTTGTACACTCAGTTTGACCGGCCGATCAAATCGGGAGTCGACAACTTTATCAGGTTTCACCACGGATTGGTTATTAAAACATTACTTCAAAGAATACATGTTAAGAATATTAAAATGGTAATTAATTAATTTGGATACTAAGATTTGCCTTGGTAGAGTTGTAATCACTTTTCGAAACTTGTGTTTACTTTTCCTTTTTCTTTTTAATTCTTTTTGATAAAAAGAAGATGAGATAAAATTAATATAAGGATATGTTAGATTTCTGTGTGTGAGAGTTGTGGCTTGCTTTACATCAAGAAGAATAATGTAATGAAGATACCAAGATGATTATATGAATTAAATAAATGATTTAATTTAACTCTTTATTTTGATAGCGTGCAACATGATATATTAATTTTAGTACATAACATCATTTAAATAACATACCATTAAGGTATCCTAATGCAGTAACGCTCCCTTGATTAAAGTACTGAGACGATCATTATGCACATATTTTTCCTGTTTTAAGTACAATTTATTCTGTAAGTACAAGTCATGACCCACTTAATTAGAAGTAATTAATTAAAATTGATATGTAGTTCTGTTTTCTATATCAGACCTTATACACAAACTTTTGGGCGTGTTTAATTTATAGAATGTTGTATTACTGCGAATATTCTATTAATAGAAAGATAGATTTCCTTGAAGATTATTGAGAATGTTATATTAAACGTGTTTGGTTAGATTGAAATGAATTAGTAAATATGTTATATTGATATGTTTGGTTGATAGGAATTCTTTTCGGATTTGATATTAAACTGTAGGGAAATTCTTTGTTTACTAGAAAAATTGTCATGGAAGAGACATGATTCTGGACTCAAATTACTGTATAGCAATAATATTGGTTGAAAGAAAAGGAAATGAAACATATATGATAAAGAAAGACTTGGTAAGTGAAATGTTAGCATGAATAATATTACCTAAAGCCTAAAGCCATAGAATAGCAATATATATTCTCATGATGGTGATAAAAGAGTTCCCTTTTATTCAATTATTCAACGTACTTCCTTCATTGCCATTTCCCTTTTCCTTACAAAAATCATAATTTCATTAAACTTAAACCACAAAATGTTCAATGACATCATATTTATTTTATTAATGGAGATGATTATAACATTTTTGTATTGATGAGTGCCATGGTTGCATTCAGAAACTTTGTCCTTGGCACACACTATGATCTCTTTCTCCATCTTGTCCTTCCTCTTACCACTTCAGGTCCACCCTCAACGCTGAGCGAATGATCGAACTCAATTTCTTGGTTATTAATCAAGTGATTGCTACAGAATTTGGAAACAGATTGCAGCACACTATCCGCACTACACTCTTTCCGATACTCCAAAGTCATTGCGCAAAGCTCACAACTCTTCACGATTGAGCTAGGAACGCCCTAATAAAAGAACATTCACGGATAGTTTAAATAATAAAAGATTTGATTAATGCATGATGAAGAAAGAGAACCAATTATAAAGATGTTAATTAAAAATAATCTACCTCGAGAATATAGTTAACCAATTTGATATGACTCACATGTTGATTCACATCCATGTCCGTCCATCCAGGCTGAAATTTTAAAGACAAAAGACCAGTTGGTACTCTTACAGTCGAAAATATATATAGAACACACACACACACACACACGATGGATTGATTAATTATACTTACATTTAAACCTGAGCGAATGTAATCTGCTTTATCAGCATCAAGCTGCAGAAGCTTTCTGCCATCCCTGTTGACGAGAGGGTCACAATAACGCAGCATAATTGGTTTCATTCCTCCCATGATTTCCTCGCTCGCCTTAGCAAATTTCCTTGTTTTCTTATTCATCATTGCATATAAACTGAATAATATACCCAAAACATGCAGCCAGTAAACCTTAGATTATATATACAAAAAAAATAAAAAAAACTTATATAAGACAATCTCACTATCTCAGTACCTTATTTTGTTAACATGGTGAGACTATAATAAAAATTAACAATTAATGGGTATTTTTATTTAATTAGACGGTTTCATTATGTCAGCTTAGTGAGGTAGTGAAACTATCGAATGTAAGTATTTTTCAAAATGAAAAGAATATTAATAAAATAGTAGAAATAGGTTCACCTGGTTGCCCGTATCAGAGTTTTGCCAGTGTTGAAGTCTCGGATCAGCCAGTCACAACGAAGACCTTTCCTCCCTGCCATATAATTCCAAACATCTACTTGAACAACATCAGCCCTTCAAAAGTAAAAACAAATTAAGCAGATATATTAAATGACCAATCAAGGTTCATATACGTGAAATTAATTATATATTATGCATGCCATATTCCAATAAAAAACAGTAACTACATTAGGAAATGCCCATAAGCCATGAAGGACTAAAGTGGATTACGTACCATGAAGGATAGTGATCCACCTCCGTATGCGACCAACAAGCCACCCATATGAGGTCCTTTTCAGTCATCTCTATTGTTGAGCCAAAACCATCAGTCAGTATTCCTGCACTCCTGAGATGATTGAGTGATGTCTCCTATACACAAAACAAATTAAATCCAGTTGGAAATAATTAATATCATAATACATCAAAGGTTAATTTATTTCATTAACGAATCTTAATAAATAGATGTAATTAAAACCTGTAAATAATTCATCAACGACTCAATGGATATTTTGAAATCACTTCCTATCTCATACGATCTGACTGTGAAGTTTTGCTGGAAAATAAGTCCATCCTTTAACAATCTTCCAGTAGATGGCTCAGCATTAATCAGTGGTTTCCCATTAATAAGTTCCCAATTCTCCATGGTGGGTGCAGACAGTTGATTGATGTTCTCCAGAGTCTCATTCTTTTGGCTTTCTATTGGTGATAGTGATGATATCCCAGTACCGTTGATCTGAAAGCTGCAGGCTATTTTATATCTCTTAATCTTCTCCCGACCACTACTAGCCGGAGTAAAATTAAGCTTATTTTTCCCACTACCAAACGGCAATGCTACCTTGAATGGTGAGGTTGATTTTATAATCATGGCGATCTTGTGGATGAGATAAATTAGAAAACCTGCCGCTAAATACGGAATCAATGAACCGATATTAAGAAGAAATTGTAAAAGAAGCTTTATCAGATATATATAAATCACAACACAAAGAATAATGTTGAGCTACATGCAAGTACGTAGTATATGCGTTAGATGAAATATATATATATGCGTAATTCTGACAAAGCTTATAAATTCTTGGTCTTCAAATGATCCCTCCTGACCAAAGTTTTCTGGTCATAGATCAAATGAAGCGCCTCAGTGTAGGAGAATACGAATTTAGCTGCTGTGTATGAATGTGAACGACCAAGCTTGCTGAAATTCCTTATTTATATGATAACCCTAGATTCAACTGTTACCAAATCAATTAATAAAATATTATCCTATGGCATAGTCCCTAGTCTACTAGCTAAAAACTACCCAACAGTTAATCAATTTTAGAAAACCTATAAAATAAACAGACCAAGTACCAAGTAGATTAATAATTTAATATAAAATATTTTTTGACCGAACGTCGGTATTATAAGGTAACTATATTGATTACTGCTTTACAGTTGGTGATAATTAATATGATTTAAATATTACCTTGATAAGAAATATATAATTAATGCAAAAGTGAAAATAAAAACAATTGTATATGATTAACTAAGATAATTTAAAGAAACNTTCTTTGGGAATTCCATCTATATCCTTTGATTCATTACAAACTCACCCCCATATCAACATATTCTCCATGAAAAATCCTTACAATTAACTCCCCACTTTTCCTGCTAATTAGGGGTAGAATGGTCAAATTGCCTTTAGGGAAGAAAATATCTAAAACTTAACCAACATTTTAATCGGCCTGTCGCCGCGGCGAAGAAACTTCTGTCGCCGCGGCGAAGAAACTTCTGTCGCCGCGGCGAAACTGTCCAGAGAGTTTCCCCGTGGTTTCAACACATCTTCGCTGCGGCGAAGATTCTGCTTCGCCCCGGCGAAGCTTGGCACACTAAACTTCTTCTATTTTCAACCAATTTCAGGGCAAGCATTCAACGCAACACTCAATCAAACAATATTACCAAAACCCAACTCAAATAAGAGCGAAAGAGGAAACAATAACTACGTACCTCATATGGGGCGTTACACCTCCCTTACTCGAAATCGAAGAAGACAATGCCTTTCTCCATCGCTTAAGCTTTGTAAATGTATTTCCACTATAAAAAATCGTAGTGTGATTTGAAAATCGACAACACCTCTCTTTTTTTGGATTTTGCATGTTTCGGCTGAGTTGAGTTTTGTTATCTCAAAAATGCTTGGAAGTTTCATTATTTGTCTTTGTTTTGAGAAGGGAGATAAGAGTTGGATAATTAAATAATGGAAAGCTTGCTTGTTGGGTTAAATTTTTGGGCGTTGGTCTGCACTCTGTTTTGGTTGTCATTAATTTTGCTTATGGGTGAAATTTTTGTTGGGTGGAATTGGAAAGAATGGGTGAGAGACAAATGTTTGGCTTGTTCATTAATTTTGAAGTTGACTCCCTTTGTTGGCAGAATTGTTATAATAAAGAAAGTTCTTTTATTTATATATTGTATTTGTATTTTATATGTTTATGGACTCCATGAATTGATGGATATTGAAGGATACAGGACTTGGGCTTTGGATTTAATTAAATTGGTGTTTTGGTTCAATCGTCAGTAGAAGTAATTGGGGTTCAATGGAAGTAATTGGGGTTCAATGGAAGTAATTGGGTCCAATGGTAAACATAACAATAATTATTTAAACATATAATATTGATGGATATGATGATGTCACTAGTCCAACCAATTGGACCAGTTGACCCGTCACCTGGGTAGTAGAACGAGTTACCCTCCAGTCTGGGTTTTAAAATAGTGCTCGCTACCTCCATACCAAGGGATCTCAAGGAAGCCTACATGTGCAAGAGCTTTGGTTTTAGCCTCTTAGAACCGGCTTTGCAATGGTACACTAGCCTCCCCAACAATATCATAAGCTCCTTTGCTCAACTGACAAACACCTTTGTTGAACAATTTGCCAATAGCAAGAAACTAGAGAAGCTGTCAACCAATTTGTATCAAGTGTACCAAAGAAGGGACGAACCCTTGCAGGAGTATGTTAGCCTCTTCAATAAGGAGAAAATCTCAATCCCTTCTTACAACCCTAAGACCGTAGTGGATGCATTCAGGAAAGGGTTCCTCCTTAACAGGGAGCTATACAAAGACCTCACCAAGCTCAATTGTAACACAATGAAAGATGTATTGGCCCAGGCAGTAATCCAAATCAGGTAGGAAGAAGGTGAAGCCAACCAGATGTGGCATAATCGTTATGATGATCGCGCCAAAGACGTGATGACAAGTGTCCAGAAGCTCGCTCTTATGAACCGTGTTATTCCACCTAGTCACACGGCTCTAACCATCACAACAAGAAACCGTATGACAGACAGCCTGCTTGCCCAAATAAACACCCATCCAGCTTCACCCCGTTCAAAGTCCCAAAGTACAACCTCAGTGTTGAGCCAACCCAGTTGGTAGCAATTATGAAAGGTATGGGGCTAACTATCAAGTGGCCAGCCAAGCTAGACTCAAACGTCAAAAGAGACACCTCCAAATGGTGTGAGTTCCACAATGATCATAGACATAATACTCTTAGTGTATGCCCTAGGAACCAATCGTGTTGTCAGTTTCAGGACATTATATCTTGTAAATGTATTATGAATAAAAGAAAGTGTTCTTATTTCACATGTTGATTTTCTGCTTCATTTATATTATATTATATTTAATATTGCATGTAAATGTCTGGATGACACGGATCTTCAGAAAATCAAATCATCAAAGAATTCCCTGTGCAAGTAATGTTAATTGGGCAATAACATTACATAGTAGGCATGTTGAATGTCTCCATTGAATATCATGTGATGGTATTAGTGTGGGTGATTATAAGAGGTATGTCTCTAAGGCATTAGCATGGATAAATGGTTAGTGAACAATTTATCGAATACGATCGATTACGATGAATCACATGGATATGATCAATGATGCATCGTATGATCGTGCTAGCGTACCACTAATCCTTAGACCTGAGACATCACGGTTGGATTCAACATAGGATGCATCTGGTTCATATGGTGTATAAGCACGAGACTAGTCATGTCTTGTGTATTAAACCGGTTTGGTCATATGCTATTCATGTGCGAGGACAAGTGATGGTCAAGATGGGATCCGTTAACTCAAAATAGTCCAATCTCAAGTTCCCAGACGAATGTCAATAAACATTGGAAAAGGGAAATCTCTGGCCAGAGTATAATGAATGTCAGATGAAAAGTAGTTTCATGTTGACGATTTCCATTGTATCGATTGACAGTTCGATTAAAGAATAAGTTAAATGTTTTGACATACCATGAACCATTCTTAATCGGGATTAGATAACGGAGGGATTTGACTACACAGTACGTACGATCAGAATAGGTTCATTGGAGTTTACACTTCATTGTGGTTTAGGGGTTATAGAACATTGATAGACGTCTACCATAATCAGTGGGAGTTTCGATTATAAAGAATTATAACGAAACATATCAAAATCAGATATTGGGCCCACGGCTAGATCACAGTAAACCAAAATGGTCACACATAAAACCAAGCTCAAGGAGAGAGAGTAATACATATCATTAATCAGATTAATGATGTTCGGACATAAACGGTTGCATCCAAATTAATGTATTGGTGAGAAATGATTATCCATGGATAGCTAGCACTAACCAAGGGTAATAAGGATTTATTAAATATTGAATTAGATTCAATGATGGGGGCAAAAGTGCATTGGTTTTATTCTAAAGGGTTAGAATATTTAATGGAATTAAAATTTGGTCTAATTATGAATTAACCATAAAACCAAGGACTTGACATAAATGTTTATTCTCAAGTTAATTTTAAATTGTTTGAGGCCTTCCCAAAACAATTTAAAATTACACTTTGTGCCCATGGTATATAAATTAAGTTTTATACAATTTTAATTGAATTGAATCAATTAAAGCAAAATCACTTTCTCATTTTCTCTCTCACTCTCTCGGCTTTCTCTTCCTTGACTTGTGTGGATCACATTTTGAGGTTCTTCAAGTTCACTTGAAGAACTAAGATTCTAAGAAAGAAGATTTAAGTGTTGAATAGCAAAGGAATAGGTAATATTCCATCCTTACCTTGAAATGTTTTGGGCTTATGTGTTATGTTTGTATTCTACCTTCCATCCATCATCTTGTTCATCCATGTTACACCATTTCCATGTCCAAAATGCATGAATCCCAACAAATACAGCTAATTGCATCGCCCTCAGACTGGAGGTCACAACATTACTGAAGAGAGGGCACCTGAGTGATCTGTTGACTAACAAGGGGAAACAAACCATGAACCAGAGAAGCAACAAAGAACGATCTCCCCTTCTCAAAGATCCAAAACCCAAGGGTTTCTATAACATCATATCCAGAGGCTTACTAACTAGTGGGGTTAGTTACTCATCAACAAAGAGACATGTCCGAGCCAATCACCACCAAGAAGTTCGTTCAACTCATCCACCGATTCAAACATCATCAAAACAAGTCATTCAGTTCAAAGATGATGACCCTGTCACCCTGACTACCATGCATCATGATGCCCTAGTGATTAGTCCACAGATCACTAATATCCTCGTCAGGAGAATTTTTGTGGATGGAGGATCCTCAGCCAACATACTCTTTCTGGAAGCAGTAAAGACAATGGGGTTAGACAAAGCTAACATAAGCAGGCACCCAACCATCCTGGTCTAGTTCAGTTTAGAACAGAAGTATACCATTGGAGAGATTGTCCTACCAGTCTATGCTTGAAATGCGAACTGCCAAACTATCTTCTTGGTCCTTGATTGTCCCTCCCCCTACAATGTTACCACGAGCCAACCTTGGATCCATGACATGAGAGTCGTTCCATCCACATTCCACCAGACAATCAGGTTTTCCACCAAGTGGGGAGTGAGTG